AATGTCAGTTTACCCCCCCAAAGCAGACATTTTCTCCAGGGGAACTGATCCTTGAGGGGTAATTAAGGTTGCCGGGTCTTACCTGGCTGCTGGTGGGGGGTGGGGGTGGGGTGTCCAGTCTTGCTCTGGGAGTTGTCGATGATGTCACCCAGAGGTGACGTCATCGCACTGGATACATCGGGGTTGGACACTCTAGTATTTGGGAAAAAACCCTCTATGGTCACCATAAAGCTCTTAGCCAAATGCTAGAGTGTCCCTGCATGACGTGCTCAGTGTGACGACATTTATGTCTACAGCATCGTCTGTTTCTATGGTGTTTTATATGACAACAGGAGTAAAAAAAGACAGGGACACCAGAAGAGCCCTGTGGGATCAGACCGGCGGTCCCGCTAGTCCAGCACTAGTTCCTCTCGAGCAGGGGTGCCAAACATGCAGCTCGGGGGCCGGATCAGGGCCCTGGAGGGCTTCTATCAGGCCCGCAGCAGAACTGGCTGTCCTCTGCTGCTGCTTCCAGTTCTGCTGCTGCTGCGTCATCGTAGGCTTGCAGCTTACAGATACACACCTGAACAGCATACTCAAGATTGCAGCAGCACAGACAGTTTGATGCAATATTTCAGAGCAAGAGGTGTCCATGATCAGACACTGTTAAAGAAACAAAGTGTTGCAAGAGTGCTAATGTTTTAAGCATGTTTTTATTTTAAGTAAAAAAACCCTTTGTGTTTGTGTCCTTTATAGAGTTTATATCTCCACTACCTGGCATTACATTTTATGACACACATGGTCCGGCCCAACAAGGTCTCATTCATGTCAGATCCGGCCCTCATGACAAATGAGTTCGACACCCTTGCTCTAGAGGATCAAGAACAGGGCAATTTCCAAGCAATTTCTTTGGGTGACCCTGAGTTCTAGTGTTACGGGCGGGGGAGAGAAAGCTCCTTCTATCCACTCTCTCCACCCCATGCATGATTTTACAAGCCTCTGTCATGCCTCCCCCGAGCTGCCCTTTTTTCTAGACTGAGGAAGCTCTTCAGCCTTTTCTGCAAGTAAGGTGCTCCAACGGCCTAATGGCCTCAGTTGTCTTCTTCCATACCTCCTCCATAGCCCTGCTCAAGGGACTCTGTGGAGAAAGCAGCATGGAGCCAGTGTGATTTAGTGAATGGAGTGCTGAGCTACAACTGGAGGAACCAGCTTGAGATCCCCACTCGGCCACAAAGCTGACCGGTGCCAGTCTGTCTCTGTCTCTCTCTGTCTCTCTCTCTCACACACACACATACACACACTAATTTACCTCAACAAGAATTGTTGTGAGGATGCAATTGGGAAGGATAAACAGCGTGCTAGAGATGAAGTGCCTCTAGTGAGAAATAACGGGCTGACGTCTTCCTTGTGAACAGGTTCGGGATAGATGTGAGGCGCTACCTGCTGCGGGTGGGGGACTACCACACTGGCGTGAGGGATGAGTTTGAGAGAGAGCTACCTGTGGAGAAGATTGTCCTCCACAGGAACTACCGGTCTAGCAGCAACGACAACGACATTGCCCTGGTCAGGATTCGGGGGAAAGATGGCCGCTGCCTCTCCTTCAGCCACCACGTCCTTCCGATCTGTCTGCCTAGCAGGAAAGAGAAGTCTGCCATCGATAGACGGTCCTGTGTCATATCTGGCTGGGGAGACACAGGTGAGTGGGAGGAAGCCTTGTAAAAGTGAATGTGGAAAGATAGGAGGAGAGAGGCGAGTCCTTTAGAGAGCCAGCCCTGGACCAACTTTTAGGACACTTGGCTGTGAGAGATGAAACGGCCAGTAAAGTTTCCAATTAAAAGTGTATACCAAGTACGGTTTTGTTTTGCCAGACTAACACACCATTCAGCTAGACTCAGTCAAAGGAGATGAACCCTGTGATTAGAAGCTCTGGCAGTTAAATGAAAGGAGCTCTCTTGAGAAAAGTAGGAAATATTGTCAGTGAGACTCAGGTTGTTTGCCCGGCATGGATGCTACCGGGAAGCCGAGGGTTCTCCTGTTCCCCCAAAGCCTTGTGGTGCTTCCGTGGACCTCCTGAGTTTCCCCCGTCTTTTCCAAACCGGATTTACTGTGATGTTTTGGGGAAACAGCACAGCTGCAGGGGCACCCAGGTAGACCCCATGTGGGGTCTTCCCGGCCCCATCCACGTCAGTGCTGCTGTCCTGGCCCAGTCATTCTCCACCAGAGTACTTTTAGAAAAATTGGCAATTGACATATTATTATGCGGTGTTGTGGTTAAGTGCGCGGACTCTAATCTGGGAGAACCGGGTTTGATTCCCCACTCCTCCACTTGCAGCTGCTGGATGACCTCGGGCAAGCTGTAGGTCTGATAAGAGCTGTTCTTGAAAAAGAGCAGTTTCTGTCAAGAGCTCTCTCAGCCCCACCCACCTCACAGGGTGTCTGTTGTGGGGAGGGGAAGGGAAAGGAGTTTGTAAGCCGCTCTGAGACTCCCTTGGGTAGTGTAGAGCAGGGTATAAATCCAATCTATTATTATTATTAAGTTAAATGTCATAAAATGTGACTATCAGGTTCTCTGAATTCCCAGCTTTTAAAATAAACAAACAAACCTAAGTATCTAGCCCTTTTCCTTGCACAGATGTAAGGGACAAGGCATATCGCCATACAAAAATTCAGTTATGTGGTTACACCTTCTCTGGCGATATGTACTCATCTCTGCATTAATTATATGTATTAAAAAATCACAGCTGCACCAGGAATGTTAAAGCAAAATAGTAAATGTCTTAGCAATACCCATTGTACTTGGTGGAGTGATTATACATGAGTATATCTCTGAGCCATCGAGTTTGGATTTATTGTGTTGAAAGGTGATATGCATGCTGTTGTTGTTTTTTCAAAAATCCATATAGTGGTAAAGTCTTGCTTCTGGAGAGATGGGCATGGGCTGATTTTTATGGATAATATTTAATGATTTATTTTAGGCAATTTCTTGGCTGAATGAGGGCCGGAAGCGGGGCGGCCGGAAGCAGGGAGCGGGGCTTCGTCATGTGCCCCCCCCCCCCCCCCCCCCCCGGGGGACTGCGGGCCCCCCCGAAGGCGCACTGCACCCGCAAGCCCTGAGGCTGGAGAAGTTGTCTGCCAGGTGGCAGCAGGGCGTGGCCTTGACAGAGTCTACCACGGAGTCAGCCACGCTCAGCAGCAGAAGCCAGCCCAGCTGAGTTCCTGCCAGAGGGAGGGGGCACTGGCGCTTGAGGCTCGGGCGAGCTCTGACAAAGGGGCAGGGAGGGTGGGCAGCACTGACCTTCGGGGCAGCCAGCCTCTCTGAAGAAGTCCAGGGGCAGGGGTCATTTCCTGCGGGAGCATGCAGGAGCAGAGCTCCGGCAGTAAAGAGCCCAGGGGGCGGGCACATACAACAAGCCCCACCCCCCCGCTCCCAGCAGCCCTCAGTCAGAGCAAGAAGCAGCCAGGTAAGTTGCAGAAC